CCGGCCCGCCCCCGGCCCGCCCGCCGCCCCTTTGTCTGCGGGAGCCGGGGCTGGAGCGGGGGCGGAGGGGCTTTGGCGACGCTTTGCCTCGCAGCCCGCTTGTTTTTCCCCAATATTTTTCCCTTTTCCCCTTCCCCTTTTTTATTTTTCCTGCTTTTTGTGGGTTTTTTTGGGGTTTTTTTTTTGGGGGGGGGGGTTTGTTGTTTTTTTTTTTTTTTTCCCTCCCCCCCCCCCCTCCCCCAAGAAAGACATTGGCCTGTGAAGGGGGTGTGGTCCTGCGGGTCCTCCCGGTCTTTTGTTTACCTATGCTTTGGACTCTTATTCATGGCAGAGTAGTTGTGGATGCCCCATCCCTGAAAGTGCTCAGAATGGGTTGGATGGAAGTCTGAGTCACCTGCTCTAGTGAAAAGTGTTCCTGCCCATGACAGGGAGACTGGAGCTAGATAATCTTTAAGGTTGCTTCCAACCTCCATTCTGTGGTTCTATGACTTTATCCTTCTTTCCTCTTTTATTTTTCTACCAGACACACAACATTCTTGACTGATGAATAAAAGAAAACAGCCTACAATGCTTGTGAATAGCTTGTGAGTGAGAAGACTTAAATATGGCTGAAATGGCAAAACCACAATATATTCTGTTAATTTGTATTTTTATTCCATACATTGTGAATCAAAATATCTCTTTGAGCAACCTGTTTAATTATTTAGCACTTTACTATGTACATTATGGCCAGACTTGTTCCAGTGGCAAGCACATTACCTGAAGAACCAGGCTACACGGAAGGAACTTGACTGACAGTTCTCTGTAATTGTTTCAGTGGTGTTCTAAAGAATCGCACAGTCACCTTTGAAATAGTTCTAATGAAATCAAACAAGCTTGCACTTCACTTGGTGTCTGCCCGGGCTCAAAGGCAGTGTAAAGGCACCCTATAGCTGAATGTGCTGTAGACTGTGCAGGTTGGAATGTGATTTACTCTTGCTGTGCTCCAATAAGCTGTCCTTTAAACTAGTACAAGGACAACGTTGTTGGTGCTCTCAAAAGACCTGTCTCATAACTAGCACTGTAACTGACTTCTACAACTTAAAGTGCAAAATGCCATAAAAGTGTATTTTCCTTTTAATTAAAGGTTGGACAGAAGGATAAGCTGTCTGGCAGGGTTGGCGACGCTTTGCCTCGCAGCCCGCTTGTTTTTCCCCAATATTTTTCCCTTTTCCCCTTCCCCTTTTTTATTTTTCCTGCTTTTTGTGGGTTTTTTTTTTTTTTTTTGGGGGGGGGGGGTTTGTTGTTTTTTTTTTTTTTCCCCTCCCTCCCGCTCCTCTCCCTGTTCCGGGAAAGCCGCCCAGAGCCCCGGCGCTGCTCCGCTGTCCCCGCGTTTTGTGGGGTCCCCCTTGCCCAGGGTCCCCCCGGTGCTGCCGGGGCTGCCCCGCACACAGAGCCCGCTTTGTCTGAGCGCTCGCCATCCCGTGTTTGGGTTGCAAATACTGCCGGGGATGTTTAACCCAAACACGGCATCGTGTTCCTTGACTTTCAAACGGGAGGACAACTCCTATAATTAATTACCAGCGTATTTATTAAAAAACTCGACTCTCAGGCATTAACTCCTTGGCAGCAAACTCTTGAAAAATCTCTGATTTTCACCGGTGGCTTCCTTCCAAATCAGCGCGGCTTAGAACAGCCTCTTTTCAAATCTGTTCTGAGTTTTCTTCCGAGATCCTCTCCCCAGAGTTTGCCGATTAATTTCCAGCCCGGCTTTCCATTTAGCCAGAACCGGAAGCCGGGACTGGGACGAAGGGAAGCTATTAACCTGGATGTCAAACAAATGCAACACTAATCTCTTCCAAATGGAGCCAAGCGGAGATAAAGGAGAAACAACTCCACAGCCATGATCCTTCCTTTTCAATCCAGGAAGGAGGATCGCTCCGGCGAACAGAAAACAATTGTTTCATATTCCAAGGAAAGTTTGGGGGGGTTTTTTTGGTAAGAAATTCTTCCATGGCAAGGTGCTGGCAGTGCCCCTGGGCCAGGGCAGGGTGCGGGCAGTGCCATCCAGGAGGGAGCAGCATCCACACGCTCCAGCCTCACCGTCAGAGCTGCGCCCTGCCCTGCGAGTACCCAGATCTCAGCCCACACGCCCCGTACCCTGAGGAGGTGCTTTCTCACAATGATTTTCTTGATCTTTTAGCTCTTCACGGAGCGTTTCTGCCCTCCAACAGCACCCATGGGCAGGGATCACGAGGCTACTGAAGGCACTGGAGTCATGCCAGGGATAATTTTTGGTTGACTCAGAACCAGCCTGCCGTGTGAGGTCAGGTCTGTAGGTAGATGACAACAGAGGAGTTTATTGTATGTGCATAATTAAAGCTGCGAGCCACAGCTTAGCTTTTTTTTACTGAGTAATAAAAAGCATTCTTGGCCCCTGGACACTTGGGAGCAATCCCTGCAGCTGCAGAGCCAGGCTCTGCGTGGGAGGTGTTGGAGCAAGTACGCTCCTCGCCTACCTCTGCACCCAGAGGGCTGATGGCAGAGGTATTTCTGAGAGCAGGAAAAATAAAAAAAACCCCAAAACCTGTGCAGCCAGGTTCGGGAGGAGCTGGAATCCAGCACAGGCTGGTGAGCTGTGAGCTCCAGGCTGTACAAACTGTCCTGCAAGAGGATGGGGAGTGTGGAGAGGGCCCAGGTGCTGCTTTTAATGTGGACCTAAAAGGGAGCTTGAATAAATTAAAGAGGTTGGATTTTGTGCTGGAGCTGGTGCTCCCCTCTCTTGTCTCTTGGCACTGCTGGGAATGACAGCCAGGGAATGACAGACAGCCAGGGAATGCCAGGGAATGCCAGGGAATGCCAGCCGGGCAGGGCAAGGGCTGACACCACCCTCTGCTGGGGACCCAGCGAGCAGCTTCTCTCTGCCCAGATTTTGCTCCACGGGCTTTTGTTTCAGCTCCTCGCACGACAGAAGCCCGAGAGGTGGCTGCGTGCAGCGGGAAGATGCTGCCAGAGGGAATATTGTGCTTTTTCACCCCAAAATGTGTCCGTGTGTACGGACAAGGAGCCTGGCAGGCAGCCCCCATAGCTCGGGTCCCAACGCACAGGGAATGGACCTGGCTGGAGAAGTGGTGGCACTTTGGGAATGTCACAGGGCTCGCTGGGGACATCCCAGTCCTGCATGGAACAGGCCAAACTAAAGGAAGGAAGGAAGGAAGGAAGGAAGGAAGGAAGGAAGGAAGGAAGGAAGGAAGGAAGGAAGGAAGGAAGGAAATTAAGTGCACTAACATGTATGAGGACACCATCCCTTACAAACCAACCCCAAAATACCCAGGACGTGGCCACATTTCCAAGCAAGGTGTATTTTCTGCAATGTTTGGTGTCACTCCAGATTTCTCTACACGCAGAGAAGCAGCCCCTCTGTAAATATCCCTTAAACACCAGCTCGGCACCGCCAGGAAATCCTCTTTTCCCAGGCAGGCAGTGTCTGTGGATTGCCATTGCCACCTTCTGGATTAGTCCAGGCGTGCAGCAGCCTGTCCCGAGCCCTGCTGGCTGCCAGGGACGTGTCTCCAGCTGGAGCCAGGGTCCCCAAGCAGGAGCCGGCCCGGCTGCTGGCAGGGCAGCTGTCACACAGCCTACGTGCCATTTGCAACACGCCCTCGCATTTTGTCATCTCCTTTCACCGACTATTTTAGGAAAGCTGTGCAAGCCCCAGCTCGGCAAAACCACTGCTGGATTATCAGCCACGGAGGGGGGAACCACAGGGCCACCAAAGCGTTCAGCTGCTGGGCACAGACAATAATGCTGTGTCTGCCTCATCACACACCTGATCTACCTGCCCAGACCCTGCCACAACCCCTGCAATTTCCCTTCTGCAGCGCTGCCAGCAGAGCCCTTCCAGAGCTGCCCGAGGGGGTGACTGCCTGTCACCATGGAAAGGAGCAGGAAAATTAACCTGGCACGGCTCCATGCCAGGCGGGATGAGCTGCAGGAGGGATGAGCTGGATTCTCCTCAGCTCGGGTGCTCTTTGTTTAGCCTGAGAGTGCAACTCCACTGGTAAAGGATTCTGACCCCAGGCACCAAGCAGGTGGAGCTGGCACTTTCTCTGTGGAAAAGCCTCATTTTGGGATGTCCCAGCAGGGCTGAGTACCGGCAAGCAGCAGTTAACAGTTCCCAGCACTGCTGGGACACCCTCGCTAATTAAGAATCCTCCACCGGGCTCCACCCCAAAAAGTTTCCCATCAAAATCAGCCAGAGCTGGAGTGTTCACAGCCCTGGGAGCTGGGCCAGGGGAAAAGAGCCCAGCCCAGCCCCTCACTGCAGCCCTGGCACAGCAGAGGAACGGCCTGAGGCAGCTCGGGGACACAAAGCAGAGATTTCCTGGGAGGAAGGCGGAGAGGAACAAACCACTGGCTGAGCAGCACCTGGATTTCACCTCATCCATCCCCTGCTGCTGCCTCCATGGTTTGCTGGGCAGGGTCCTGACCCAGGGGACTCACAGCACTGGGGTGAGTGAGGGGTCAGAGCAGTTGGTGGCAGGTTCCAGTCCTCCTCCTTGCCCCTCTCGGCACTGCACCCACCCCCCTTACCAACTTCTGTTAGTTTGGTGATAACACAGCCAGGAATTTTACAGACAACACCAAGAGAGCCTTAAAAAACCCTAAATCTTGTCCCCTGAATGATTTTCCACTTTTTTTTTTCTGCAGCTTCCACGAGGGCTGGCTTCCTGGCACTAGCAGGAAGCAGATTAAGCAGCAGAGTCAGGATATTTCTGATAATAAACATTTTAGTAGCGTGCTCATTCTTTTTTTTTTTTTTTTTTTTTTTTTTTTTTTTTTTCTTCCCTCTTCTTTGTGTTTGGCCTAAATCTCCTGGGAGCAGGGAACTGCAGCATGCCTCCCCTCTGACGGAAGCAAACCACAGCCTCTTGTTTGTGTCCATGAAGGAACAAGCAGGAGCAGCTCTGGAGTAGCTCTGCTCGGGGAAATGCACCGGGTCCTTCGCAGGAGATTAGATGGCGCTGCCTTCACAGGAGATAAGAAGATTGGGAGCTTAAATTTAGCATCATCAGGAAAAGAATAAGCCCTGCAGCTCTCTTCAAAACATATTTCTGTGCTGTGCTGGCCAGGGGCAGGCGGGATGAGAGAGGAGCTCAAGGAGGGGCTGCTCAGCCACGCTCCCTTCGCACGGTGACAGTGGCATGAGGCTGGCAGCACACAGGGGTGGCCCTGCCTGTCCCCACCCCATGGCTGGGCTCCCCCAGTTCAGCCCCAGTGCTCCCAGTATGGGCTCAGCACACGCTGGCTGTCCCTTTACAACACTGCACATCCAGAGCTGGGTGACACCCCTGGGACTCTCACAGCCACTCGGGGGGGCTTCACTGCCACACCTGGGCCCACAAACCCACCTTGGGGAGCCCCACTGCCATCCCTGGAGCCACACACCCACTGGGGTACCCCACTGCCATCCCTGGAGCTACACACCCACTGGGGAGCCCCACTGCCATCTGCGGCCCCATGCATCCAAAGAGGGGTGCTCAATACCATACCCCATATCCCTGCACCCACCTTGGGGTACCCCACTACCATCCCTGGACCCAGAAACCCACCTTGGGGTACCCCACTGCCATCCTCGGACCTACACACCCACTGGGGGATCCCACTGCCATCCCTGGACCCACATCCCCCAATCGGGTACCCCTCTGCCATCCCTGGACCCACACACCCACTGGGGTACCCCACTTCCATCCCTGGACTGACATCCCCACTCAAGGTATCCCACTGCCATCCGTGGCCCCACGCATCCACAGTGGGGTGCCCAGTATCATACCCCATATATCCACACCCCTCTGGGGTACCCCTCTGCCATCCCCGGCCCCACAAACCCACCCTGGGGTACCCTCGGCCATCCCCCCGCCCCCCTC